CCATTCTTCTTAGGCACTACCACTGTATTGGAGATCCATCTAGGATAGTGCACCCCTCTGATAGCTCCTGCTCTTAGTAGGTTTTCTACTTCCTCCGCCACTATCTCGGCATGGTGGAGTGCCAATCTGCGAGTGCGCTGTATAATTGGTCTAGCAATTGGGTGGACATTCAATTGGTGACAGATGAAGCTTGGGTCAATGCCAGGCATGTCATACGGCGTCCAGGCAAATACTTCGATGTTTGAGGTCAAGAATTCCATGACCTTTATTCTTTCAGTGCTGGACATAGATGAGCCAAGCAAAAAGAACTTATCCGGGTTCTTTTCATCTATTCTTACCTGTACCAAGTCTTTCACTGCCTTCTGTTCAGCGGCTTTGCCAACATCCGCAAATAGTTCATTATTTTCGGGTTCTTTCACCATTTGAACAAACCCCTTGGCAGCTCGGCTGTCATTTACTGTGACGAAGCATTGCTTTGACATAATTTGATCTCCATAGACCTCTTCAATTACTCCGGCTTCGTTGGGGAACCGCATGACTTGATAGTATGTTGACGCTACCGCTCTCATGGCGTACATCCATGTCTTTCCCAAGATTATGTTGTAAGTGGAAGGCACTTTCAATAGCCAGAATTTCACTTGTTTAGTCATGCTTCCAGCTCTGACTGTGAGGATTATCTTGCCGACTGGCCATTCTGGCATTGAGTTGAACTCGATCAGGGGAGATACGGCGGGTGCCAAGTCTTTGTCCTTCAATTTCAACTGTTTGAAAGTTTCGTAGTACATTATCTCACATGAGCTTCCTTGGTCAATCAAAATTCGTCTGACGTCGTAATCCTTGATACGGAGAGTGACAACCAGTGTATCGTTGTGAGGGCAATATATCCTTTCCAAGTCCTTGTCTGAAAAAGACATAACGTTCGTGGCCTCTGTTTTTTCCTTTTTAATGGTGGCTATGCACTTAATACCTCCCTTAAGTGCTCAGCCTTCTTTATCATGCTCCTGAGCTCACATACTCGCTCAGGCTCGAATACCCCATGTATTATGTTTATCACGCCTTGAGGTGGGGCGTCGGTCGGTGTTCCGTCTGGGTGGTCGTGGTTTTGGGGGGCTGGCTGCGTCCCTCCTTCTTTGTACCGGTCCAGGTGACTAGCTGCCACTAACTCCTCCAGATGCTGTCTCAACGGCGTGTAGTTTTCAGTGTGGTGACCCTTTTCCTTATAGAAGGTGCACCAAGATCTTTCGTCATAGTCCTTCTGTGCTTCTCCCAATTTAGTTAGCCATTTGACGAAAGGTTCATCGCGTATCTCACTAAGAATCCGGTAGATTGGTTTCTTGAATATCGTGGTAATGGCAGTGCGAACTCTCAACCATCTTTTATCTCGGTCCTCTTCGTTGTCTCGCCTGCCTCATCCATTCTTGCTTTGATGTTCTACCGTATTAACCTTCGTTGTAGTCTTCTTGTCTGGTGTTACTGTTGCACCAGATTTTGCTTTAGCACGGGCGCCATCCTGCTCCACCCGAATATGTTGGTGTACTCTTTCCATCAAGGCTTCCATCGTGAGGGGTGGTGTCATTGTAATCAAATCCCTCAATCTGTTTCCGATTGGAAGTCCTCTTTTGTATTGTGCAATGGCGAGATTGGTGGGGCAGTCCCCTATCTGGTTGAACATCTCCCAGTAGCGACTGTTGTAGGACCTCAATGTTTCTTTGTCGCCCATGTTAATAGAGAGTAGCTGATCGATCTCCACTGGCATCTTGGTGTTCGTTCTGAATCTTGTCACGAACGCCTCCACTAATTGCGCTTAGGAGGCTATGCTGCCTTGTGGTAGCCTTTTGAACCAGGTTAAACCTAGGTCGCCAAGGCTAGATGGGAATAGGATGCACATCAAAGCTTCGTTTCGCCGGTATACTGCCATAACCTGGCGAAAGTGGCTTAGGTGCATGTAAGGGTCTGTCTTCCCTTCGTACATGGTAAATTTAGGCTGGATGAAGCCTGAGGGTAATGGTGTGTTCTCAACTGCCGAAACGAACAGCGAGCTATGTAGTCTTGCCAATGCTTTATCTGTTGGTTCGTAGACAGCGTGCGGTATTGGCATTCTAACCTCGACGCTTCCATGCATCCGAGGAGCCAACCACTGAAGGGCTGAAACTCTATGCGGGTCGCGTGCCCTGGCATCCTCCTTCTGTCGCGCCCTTTCTTCAAGCACAGTCCGTAAGTCGGACGATCTAGGCAACTCCGTTTGCCTGGATGATGTCTGGTGCGTATGTAAGGGCCGATAGGTACTTCCCTCAATGTAAGACCTTAATGATCTCGTTCTCTCAGACCTGGAGTAACGAGTTCTGGAAGTCCTTGATTGAGTGTCACCTGTCCTGAGGTTTCTACTCTCCGCTTGTGATGGCGCGGTACGCCTATCACGATCTTCTGGGTGGCGATGAGGCATATTGTCTTTGCGCCCCTCTCCAGTCGCCACCCATTTTCCCTTCATCTGGCGCTTCATGGCCTCCATGTCCACCGTCATCTTCCTTATTAGTTCATCTTGCTCTTTTACGCGATCCTCCAGAGCTTGTGGGTCGATTCTTCGCCTTTGCCTTTCAGGACTTTGTGAGTGAGAGTGACGGGGGCTGTTGTTCCGTCTCCCCCTTGTACCCCTCCGGGGATTCTGTCACTGGGGCTCTAAGTCTGCCATGGGAGGGATAGAGGGCAATCCTTCGCGCCTCCCACCCCCTCTGGGGTTTGTCCGTCGATGGCGGACTGCGGTAAATCTTCGTTGTGCGCCATTCAATTAGCGAGGGAAACTTGATCAAGAGGTTTTGTTCCTTGTCTGATCTTCCCACACACTGCGCCAATTGTATGGGAAAGAAATAAACCTTCTCGTACAATCCTGTTGATCAAGTCTGCGCTCCTTCGTACGACGTCACTTTACTCCCTGAAAATACAAACGTGAGCTAGCCGGCGGGTGTGTGCCGGATACCTCTCTGATGCCTAAGTCAGCAAAATAAACAAATAGACAAAAGCTCTGTGTATTCGAGAATCAGAGTTGTGTTACTTCTCCATAGGTGATGTTATGAGCTTTAATAAGTTCTGTGTAACACAATCCTAGTAGGACTCTTACTCCTCCATGTAGAGTCCTCCCAGAAATCACATTCCTGAAAGATAATGCATATCTTTCAACACCCCCCTCACTACTTAAACCAAGTGAGATGGTTTTACCTCAGTTGGATGTCAATACGACCGGGATAACGTGGCCGTGCTAAAGCCGCAGAATAGACCGAGCTTCACCTAGCTCGGTTCTTCCTTTCACTGTGTGTACCTTGGTTTCTTCTGTACAAACCATACTAGTCCATAGTGTGCTTAGGCCGTGCTAACGAATGGCTAGGTTTGACCAAGCTAACTGCATTATGTCACGACCGGGCTAACTCTGAGTATTGTGACCGGACTATCCGCAAATCTCTCTTGGGCCGGGATAACAATAAGGCTTTCTAGGACCGAGCTAACTCCAAGACTCTCTTAGACCGGGCTAACGCCTTTTACTCCGCCCTTCTTACTGTGGCCTACAGCGGCCCATTACCCAGCTCGGCCCAATTTATATATAAATTACCCTCTCATTATGCATGCCATTTAGTTACCTCTTGCACTTCCGTGTATCATGCATACCATTTAGTTACCTCTTGCACTTCTGTGTATTATAAAAACTATGTCCATTCATTTACTGAACATCAATAAATCCTAATAACATACTCAATTCCTTACCACAATCAATCAACTGGGTGCTAAATTTACTGCCGAATATATATTTCACATTCCCACTGAAAGGATTCAAAAAAAATGCTAAGCTGCTAGTATTAAGCGAAAGCTCAACTTGTGAATACTACTAGATCTAAGAAACGTGTCAAAATAAACAACACCGAAAATAAAAATTTCTAAATAAAGTAATTGCTAGACAAAACTTAGGGTAAGCAAGGAATCCGTAGAATCCGTAATCCGATCCAGTTCAGTCCAATCCGATAGGTTTGGATTGATTTTTTGAATCTGTGGTTCCGTTCCAGATCGAAGAATTAAAAATTCGTAGTCCACGGATTGGTTCTGGATTGAACCCCACGAATAGTCTATATTTTTATTATACACCCTCCCCCATAGTATATTCTCTTATTCTATATAAAACCTAAACTCAAACCTAAACCTGCATCATATCTTCTTTTATTACTTTTGTTTGTTAGTTTTTAGTTTTAATTTGTAATGGTCTAAATACTTATGGTGAAACCAATTTTTTTATGGTTGTTTAAATTCTAGAACAGTATGTCGCTATTAAAGAAAGACATATTACTATTGTGGAACTAATATAGCGCTATGATTATGTTTTTATGAAATTAAAGTGATATATATTTTTTTGTTATTTAATTATGTGAATCCGTGGTCCTAAACCGATCCAATCCGTGTTTAAATAGATTGGTTCGGATTGATTCCATGATTTAAACGGATTGAATTGGTTCTAATTTTTCAAAAATCGTAAATAACGGATTGATTCTGGTTTTACCCCAATCCGGTTCAATTCAGACCATGCTCACCCCTAACAAAGCTTCCAAAAATATAAAGAATGCCAATTCAGAATTCTGGACGTTAGAATTTAGCCAAAATCATATGAGTCTGAGCCGAGGGCATAAGTTGTGATTAGCACGTCAAGAATATCAATGAACTCTGAAACATCGACAATACGCTTAAACCAATTAAACAAGCTCAAACCAACACACAACTAAGAGTCTCTACATTGCAATTACAATCATGAAGTAGACAAACAAACCATTAATAATAGCATACCATGTTCCTTATTACAATCAATCAACTGGAGAGCAACCGCGTGATCACACAAATTCATGAAATGAAACTAACTGACAGAGAAACATTTTGGAGATAGTGATCAGGAATGTCTTGTGATCTTCAAGCGAACAGAAACTGATTCCCCTGATGGGTTAACATGAAGGAAAAAAAAAAAAGTTAAATAAATCAACACAAATTAATTAACAAGAAGAATCAATGATTGATCATTCAAAAGGCATTCCAATGTTTTAGTTTACTACAACTGTGTTGAAAATTTGAATCAATTAAGGAGTTTGTTTCAGTCAAAATGTGCTTTCTACAAAAAATAATCAAATATTTTTTCTATATGTTTGGTTGCAATCTGGAAACGAATGAGCTAGTGGTGGTGGTGGTGCCCAATGGTGGCAAGATGATGGTGGCAATGGTGTGACAGCATTACTAAGACTTCAATCTGAAACACATTTTTCACATTTCAAATGTAGAAAAAAAAAATTACGTGCAAATAATACAAAATATCAAGTGTCAAAAAAATACAAAAAAAAAAATCAGCAAAAGAGAAAATTTTATTGATAAACATTTGAAAATATTACATCAATAAAGGAAACGAATGAGTGCGAAGAGTATCATTGCGGAACAACTCAATCCCAACTAGATTGACACTGAGAAACCCACCCAATCATATGATAGCACACCATCAAGAGTTGGTCAAAAACCAACTACAAAAGAATACAACCAAAGAACAACAAACTTCGAAAACACACCCAAGAGCCACCGAAATAAACTGAGTAGCCCACAGTTAAGAGACAAACTCAGAACAGTCCACCGTAGCCCATCACTGCCATCTATCCAAGTAGCAGCTCACCACACTTGTTAGATGCATCAAAAAAATAAAAAAATTATCACAAATCAAAATGTCAACCATCAAAAATAAATAAATAAATATTTGCCAAAAACAACGGAGCATAGGTAGATTTCACAAATAAAAAATTTACGCATATATAAATGATGTGACATATTAGTTGCTACTGTTTCGAAAAAAGAAAGTGCCAAATTTATTTGTCAAGTATGCATTTTAATATTTTTTTTACATTTTATTTATAAAGATGATAGATATCTAAAAAAACAAAGAAAAGATCACGAAAATAAACATCAGACAAAATAAGTGAGTGACTAACCTTTTCAATATCTAACCATAATGTCTTTTATCCTGTCTGGAACCTTCATATTTAGACGATAGCAATATCTCATTGTTAACTTGCTGAGCTTAGGCATCGTTGCTTCCTCCACTAGGAATTCATTTAAACCAGAGGATCCATCAACTTCCAACACTTGAAGTTTAGGGAAACAATCGGACGGTCCCCCTTCTCCGAAGCAAACCATCAACTTCTTTCCCATGTAGGAGTAATAACCCAATTCCAGGATCTCTAACTTTGGTAGTTTCTTCAGAGTCTCCATTGGGTCCTCTTTCAACCAAGTGTATCTGAGGGTAAGCTTGGTGAGGTTTGGGGGCAGTTGATTATGTCTTGATAACTCCACCTTGAACCTGTTTAGATGCAGCTTGAAAAGATTTTCATAGCGAGAAAGATTCAGATCCAACATTTTGGAATGATTTTTTGCATCAATATCCCCACACTTCAAATGCAAGATCTCTAGCTTGTGTGATACAATGTCTGCATCTAAAAACTCCTTCAGTTTTGAGAACTTAATGCACGTAAAAAAGATCCCTAGTTTTCTCAAATTGGTAAATTTGCAAAAACTGGCAGGCAAATCAGAAACACGCACCCAAAAGAGTGTTCGGAGATTTGCAAAAGTTTCTTCTTCTTCAATTGGATGATGGAACTTACCCATGTTGAGCAGTTGCTTTTGAGAAGATAATTCAATGTTGTAATAATACTTCATAAAATATGGATGAGGTAGCAGAACATGTCTTAGTTGCTTCATTCTCCAAATAAAATATGGAAATTTGAGTAAAGTGCATAGTCGGACATCCAACGTCAATAAATTTCTCAAATTGCTAATAGTGGAAGGAAGTTCGATAAAAACCTTATGCACTTTCAATTGAATGTATGTTACGTGACTCCAATTGCCAATTTCACTTGGCAATGGAAATGCAACCCTTTGACATTCTAGACTTATCACTCGAAGCAATCTCAAGTCTCTAGGAAAATTATCAACTCCCCAATCTTCTCCATTGAAAAACAACATTGCACGAAGCTCGGGTGTTCCATAGTTGTTGAAAGAAGAAATGCACTCATGGTTGGTAGTGACTCTACGCACTTTCGTAACAGAATTACCAACAGTTGCTGCATTGGGAGTATTAAAGAAGTTGATCTCCTTGGCCTCCGTCACACAAAGACCATGTAAAATATCATGAATGCATATACTTTTAATCCTCCCATCAAATTTTCTCCGAGTCACTTTGATCAAGTTCCTAGCAAACAAATGACTTAAGTAATCATTCCCCACTTCCTCAGCCTCTTGCGTGTCACTCCCTCGAATAAATCCCTCTGCTGCCCATAAATTAATTAAGTCAAATGCAAGAATATCGTAGTCCTCTGGAAAAATCCCAAAATAGAGAAAGCATGGTTTCAATTCTGTGGGTAAATCTTTGTAACTCAAAGCAAAGATCTTTGAACACTTATTTTTCTCTTGACCCATGTTTTCTAATAACCTTTTCCATTCATGTTCTGTTCTTTCTCTCAACATTCTTGCCGTTAAAACAATTGCGAGTGGCACACCACCGCATCTTTTTAATATTTGTTCACCTAAATTATGTTGGATATGGTTATAAAATTCTGGATAAACCAGAATTTTTTCCTAAGTTCGGTCTATTTTTTAGGTGGGCCCCGAGTGTCGATTTACTCGGCAGTGGTACTCCTATTGTTACACCTACATCGGTCCCTATCCAGAACCATGTTCATGTACCAATCAATCATGGAGAAAAACCGGAAAAATTTAACGGTACCGAGTTTAAGAGATGGCAGCAGAAGATGCTGTTCTATCTTACAACTCTTAATTTGGCCCGGTTTCTCCATGAAGAGGCTCCAGCACTTAAAGAGGGTGAAAGTGATCTGCAAGTTGTTGCCGCTGTGGATGCTTGGGCTAGACCCAGTTTAGAGGGAGAGGTTATGGGCTAGACCCATTGGATCCAAAAATCACCACGCGCGCCGTCGCCCGTCCGGGCTGGTTGGGGTTCTAATCTTTTTGGGTCAATAACATTTGAATTTAATTTTATTTTTTATTAAAATAAAATCCAGAATTCAAATTAAACTGGTTTGGATTTATTGTTCATCCAAACTGGGCCCTTCCCGTTTTCAAACAGAATTAAACTGTTTTGGATTTATTGCCCAAAAACATTTGAATTTAATTTTATTTTTTATTAAAATAAAATCCAGAATTCAAATTAAATTAGTTTGGATTTTTTGTTCATCCAAACAGGGCCCTTCCCGGTTTCAAACCGAAATAAACTGTTTTGGAATTAATGCACACCCAAACAGGGCTCTTCCCGTAATTGCTATCTGTTTGAAATTTATTGTTCATCCAAACAGGGCCCTTCCCGTTTTCAAACAGAATTAAACTGATTTGGATTTATTGGTTTGGATTTTTTGTTCATCCAAAGAGTGCCATTCCCGTTTTCAAACAGAATTAAACTGATTTGGATTTATTACTCATCCAAACAGAGCCCTTCCCGTTTTCAAACAGAATTAAACTATTTTGGATTTATTGCTCATCCAAACAGAGCACTTCCCGTTTTCAAATAGAATTAAACTGTTTTGGATTTATTACTCATCCAAACAAAGCTCTTCCCGTTTCTATCTGTTTGAATAAACAGATTCAAATCTGTTTATGACATGATATGAATTGTTCAGTCTTTAAGACCTATTGATTTCTGGTATGAAACAAAGTGTTGTATGGAACTAAGTTCTACTGTGGGAGTCACCTCTAGAGTCCGTACGAGTCACCTCTTGGGTCCATACATACCAATATGATTGGGCCTGAGGTTGCTTGTTAAATGACTGGGCCCGAGGCCTCTTGGTAAATAATTGGGCCCGAGGCCGCTTGTTAAATAATTGGCTCGAGGTCACTTGATAAATAATTGGGACCAAGGCTGCTTGTTAAATAATTGGGCCTATAGCCGCTTGTTAAATAATTGGGCTTGAGGCCACTTGTTATATGATTGGGCCCAAGGCCGCTTGATATATGATTGGGTCCGACGTCGCTTGTTATATGCTTGGGCCTAAGGCTGCTCGGTTTATATGATTATGGATATTGAGAGAACCTTATGATCATCTACTTACACTATTTTACTATATTATTACTCATTGAGCTTCGCTCATCCAATTTTATGTATGCACATGTAGGTGATCAGCAGCATGGAACACACCCCTAGAGTCAGCTTTAGGAGCCTTTTGTAACCCAATCAAGTCATGCCTCCAAAATGGAGTTTTTTCTTGGCTCACATCACACTTTAACCCTATTATGTTATGCTTTCATAGTCTTGGGTTGTAAACATTATGTACGATTTTACTCTATCTCTTATATTTTTGATGGACATGTATATGTATTATTGTGTTACGTGGTTAACTCCATGATTTTGCTCATGATTGGCACAACTCTATGTACTTCTCTTTATTATATGCTTCCGTTTATGGCCCGATTAGCATAAATATTCTGTATGATCATTTGAGGCCTTCGGTAATTTACGGATTACTAGCTGGTTATGACCCAAACTTTTAGGGGCGGGTTCGGGTCATGATAGAAATTAAAGACAAAAATGTACAAAATTTCAATCAAGGTGATCACTAGTTAAGATGAAAATTGGGAAATTCAATCTAAGGATACCATCAAATCAGAGAGAAATCCAGAAAAACAATTGTAGGAGATATTGAAACAAGAAAATTCATTCTATAATTGCAAATTAAAAAGAAAAAGAAAAAAGAAGAAGATGGAAATGAGAGCAATAACTCACCTTCAAATTATCAAAGATCAATTAATAGAGAGGAGAAGGAGATACATAAAGTTTAAAAAAAATTAAAAAAATTAAAAAAGAAGATGAAATTTTATTTTGTAGGAATATAATTTTTCTAAATAAATTTAAAAAATTCTAAATGTACATAAAATTTGATAAGAATAATGTGACAATGTTAATTAATGTGTATTTGATTTTGTTGTTGAGCCAAATAAAATAAAATGAGATTGAATGTATATTTAACTTTGGTTGTGAATCTTAAAAAAAAAAAAAATAGTTGTGAATCTTAAAAAAAAAAAATTAAAAAGAAAAAACAAAAGAAAAAAGATTGAATATATATTTAGCTTTGGTTGTGAATCTTAAATTTTTTTTTTAAAAAAAATGGTTGTGAACCTTAAAAATAAAAATAATAATAAAAAAAAGATTGGATGTATATTTAGCTTTGGTTGTGGATCTTAAAAAAAAAAAAAAAAAGTTAGTTGTGAACCTGAAAAAATAAAAAAAAGAAAAAAGATTGAATGTATATGTAGTTTTGGTTGTGAATCTTTTAAAACAAAAAAAGAAAAAAAGAAAAAAAAGGAGAAATTAGTGGGTACCCGTCCCCTGTGGATATTTAAAGAATATCACATACCCTACCCATGGATAAGAAAAAAAGGGGAAAATCCATGTATTTGGGTTGGTTCTCCATAGATACCCACAGAGTAGGTTATCCATTGCCATCCCTATTTGAAGAAGCAGATTTTGGAGTGTTTTAAAAAGTTGATAAAAAATTAATATTTTTTTTATTTTTTTTTTAAATAAAAAATATAAAAAATAATATAATATTAGAATCCAACATAATGTCCCTAAGTTTCTGCCCACCACAAGCTACTTGAAAGTGCACATCCGGTGTTCCATCAGGAAGCAACACAGACTTCAAAAAACACAAAACTCATTAGCAAACTTCCATTGCACACCTACATAGCACACAAATTAATGGATTCGGGGTGCCTGCTGTGCTTAAAGCACAGCAGGAGGTGCCATGCATACAACACACACTAATAAATAAAAAAAAACAAAGGAAAAATTATATTAAGAAAAAAAAAAGAAACCAAAACCATGGGTGGAGTAGCACAGCAGTGCCTGCTGTACAGCAGGCACCCCTTTTCCTTTATAAACAATGATAGAACTGTCCCTTTCAATTGAATTTGTCAAAAGTGTAAAGAGTTTATTATAATCAGGTGCATGTAGGAGCATCTCTAATCCTTAATTTTTTTTTTATCAAATTTGATGAAAAAAATGATGCTTTCTTCAATTTGATACCACTGGCTCCAACGCTTCACTTTTTATCAAATCTGCTCCGGGAAATCTGATACTGAGTGCCCCTACGGTTGATTTTCATCAAACTTTCATCAAATCTGTATCGGGATAACTGGTTGCCGGTTAAGCCAAAAAAAATTTTTTTTTTTTTTTGAACTTTTTGAACCTGTTAGTGGCCGACCGACTGGTCGACCGGTAAAGCAAAAAAAAATTTTTTTTTTCAACTATTTGACCTTTTTTTTGGAACTGTTTGAACCTTTTGGTGGTCGACCGATTGGTCGACCCCAACGGTCATGCACAGTGTTTTGGTGAAATGCGGAGCCTGTCCTCATTTTGGTGAAACATTTGGTGAAATCTCGATTTGATATCAATTTGGTAAAACCGTTGGAGCATGAAAAAGTACTTTTTTCATCAAATTTTAAATTTGATGCCAGGTTTGGTTCAGGGTTGGAGATGGTCTAAGGGGTGTTTGGGAAGTTTTGTTTTGATTTTTTTTTTTTTTTTTTTTTTTCCACTAGAAGATAAATTGGTTACAAAATCAAAAAAAAATTAATCCAAACAAAATATCACATCAAATTTCATAATCATTTCACTTTTTTTTTCTCACAAACGTCACACCCAACCACAAAAAAATCCAATTATTTTTTCAAACACAAAAAAAAATTTCTCTAATAATATCTTACAATTAAAAAAACTATAAAAAAAAACCCACTTCCCAAACACCCACGTAGACTTTTGAGAAGTAATTTTTTTTAATTATTAATTTTGTTTGAGAATAGATTATTTTAATTTTTTATGAAAAGACTTACAGAAAATTAGAGAGAATGATGCGACAATTTATAGGGCTATTTTGAGAAGATAATTAAAAGTCATCTTTTAATTTTTAATTCATTTTGAGTCACATTATCTCTCATATTCTTTACACGTTGTTTTAAAAAAAAAAAACCAAAAAAAGTAAAAAAAAAAAAACAAACTAACTTTTAATCATCTTTTCAAAATAACTCATAGTGACTTTTAAATTTTTTAACTACAGAATAATGTTAGAGATTTCAAAAATTTTATAAATAATTTTATTAAAATGTCTCACCTGGTGTGGGACCTACACAATGTGAGGCTCATACTTATGTGAGATTTTTGGTAGAATTTTTGTTGATTAAAATATATATGAAAGAAATATTGAGAGAGTGATTGAAAGAGCTAATACACTCTGTGATTCAATTGTGTATTAAACATGAAGAGAAGGCTCCATTATATAGGAGAGCTAATACAACATCATTATGATACTACATTATGAAAGAAAACATATAAAAATAAAAAGTAGCCCAAAGTTGAAGGCACTACCTAAAGCACTACAATAAATCATCTGATGGAGAAGCACTAACTATTAAATATATATTAATGATATAAGCATGCAGCTGGTATTATATATTAACAAATAGCTTGCTTGATTTCCAATACTCCCCCTCAAGCTACGTTGTAGATATTAATCATTCCCAATTTTTCCGTCAGATCTTCGAAGTGAACGCGAGCAAGAGCTTTTATGAGAATGTCAGCCTTTTGATAGTTTGTTGGAGTGTAGCTGACTTGAAAAACTCCTTCTTCAATCTTTTCCTTGATAAAGTGTCGATCTATCTACACGTGTTTCGTTCGATCATAATGAACCGGATTCTTAGCTATACTGATGGCGGCTTGGTTGTCGCAGTATAAAACCATGGGATGCTCAGATGGAACCCGTAATTCTTCTAACATCCTGTTCAACCAGATTCCCTCACAGATACCTAGTGCCATAGCACAAAATTCTGCCTCAGCACTACTACGGGCTACCACTGACTGTTTCTTGCTTCGCCATGTAACCGCGTTCCCCCAAACAAACGAACAATAGCCAGAAGTTGATCTTCGATCAGTCAATGAACCTGCCCAATCTGCATCTGAAAAAATCTCAATTTTTCTATTTGTTGTTCTTTGGAAGAAGAGACCCTTTCCCGGTGTCCTTTTTAGGTACCTCAATATTCTGATCACAGCAGTCATGTGTTTTTCGGTTGGATTATTCATGAATTGACTGACCACACTAACAGAGAAGCCGATGTCTGGCCTTGTATGAGAAAGATAAATGAGTTTTCCCACAAGACGTTGATATCTCCCTTTATCACTTGGTGCACTACCGTCACTTTCTTCCAGTTTGATAGTTGTGTCCATAGGTGTGTCTGCCGGCTTGCATCCTAGCATCCCTGTTTCATTCAGTAAGTCTAGAACGTATTTACGTTGTGAGACTGCTATACCTTTCTTTGACCTAGCAATCTCCATTCCAAGAAAGTACTTAAGGTTTCCAAGATCTTTAATCTCAAATTCCTTTGTTAGGAATTTTTTAAGTAAGCCAATTTCCTCTTCATGATCACCTGTTAGAATTATGTCATCCACATAAACAATGATAATTGCCAATTTCCCTCCTAGGGAGTGCTTCACAAATAATGTATGATCGGATTGACATTGAACAAAACCGTACCCTTTCACTGCCTTAGTGAACCGTTCAAACCAGGCCCTGGGAGATTGTTTGAGACCATACAAGGATTTTCGGAGTCTGCAAACTTTGTTGAAATTTGATGTCGTCTCAAGTCCAGCAGGAATGTCCATGTAAACTTCTTCCGTTAAGTCACCATTGAGGAAGGCATTTTTTACATCAAGTTGGTGAAGTGACCAATCGAGATTAGCTGCCAAGGATAAAAGGAGAAAATATGGATTTTTTAGTAACAAGTGCATGACATGATCATATACATCTTGATTATTTATATATCTTGTTAATGATATTTCCTACTGGGTAATAATTCATCCCAAACTAACAACATTTCAGGAATGATGACGTGACTCTGCCAAAGTGACTTGGCGACAGATGTATTTTTAAAAGGAGCACGAAGACTCAATGAATGTTAATTGTTGAAGTTCCAGAGCTATTTTTGTGGTTTGGAATTGAACATTCACTTCTTTTATTTTTTTTATTTTTTTTTTTGGTGTACTCAAGGAATAACCTTGATAATGTGTACGCCACTAGGGTATTATACTTTTATATTTCCCATACTCCTTGAACTGTTATTATTATTTTGTGTATTTAAATGGAATAAGGATGTATTTAGTTGGAAGAGTTCCATGGGACAGAGATCATTTTGAGTAAATGTTTATACGTTAATCATGGTAATTATTGCAATGGTTGGTATATATATATATATTAAATGGTTTAACTATATAAATAAAGGATAAATCTCGGGACGTTGTAGTTATCCAGTTATGTATTTAAAGAAATTGTATTCAATGAAAAAGTATGTTGAATGTTTTTTCTTAAACTTCGTGTGAAGTTTATGGAGGCCAAGTTCTCCTCGAATTGAACCAACAAGAAGTGTCCTCCCTTGAACTGCGTCTCTTCTTCCTTATTTCTTCATTTTATTTGTGTTAATTTTGTTAAGAAAACTGTATGTAACAATTGATATCAGAGCCATCGGTCCTCGACAATGGAAGTAGATATACCGCAGGATATCTTGGAGTCTATTAGGTTTTTGTAATTGGCAATCTCATTGACAAAAATCCATTCATTTGTATTTTTATTTACCTTCCATTTTTATTCAATTTACTTTTCTATTAAACTACATTTTTTATTTAATTTCCAAATAGATCGTTATGGTATAG